TGTACTCATCTGAGCCCACAGAACCCTACCTTTCTTCTCAGAACTATGGAGAGCTCTTCTCCAACCAGATCATCTGGTTTGTGGATGACACCAATGTGTACAGAGTGACCATTCACAAGGTAAGGCCAGAGTTGCATCTTAAGGGGGAAGGATAGGGGCTGTAAATGTCCTTTGCTCAGGATGATTGAGGAAGTCTGCCTGAGGGAAAACTAGGATTGAACATGCACCCAAATCTTCTGCACTGTGCACACAGCAGTCCTTGCATTTCCTGTTCAAAGCATTTAACAAGTCAGCTGTTGTGTAAATGGTTAGATGGGCTGCATTCATCTCACTGTACTTTCCACTTCATATTTTCTCAGACTTTTGAAGGGAATTTGACCACAAAACCTATCAATGGAGCCATTTTCATCTTCAACCCTAGGACTGGACAGCTCTTCCTGAAGATCATTCACACATCTGTGTGGGCAGGACAGAAGCGTCTCGGGCAGGTGGGACCTGGCTGCTTTTTGTGCTTTTGGCAGTGAGGCAGGGACATGCACTGATGTTTTGGGATACTCAGTTGAGCAGAAAGCATTGCTGAATGTCTTTCTTCCTGCCTTGAAACAAGTTTGGAGCCCCCACTGCTAGAGCGTAACCTGTGCTCTGGCAACCATAGCATGGGATAAAAAAGTGTAAGAATGCAGACACTGATGTTGTGATGTTTTTGAGCTTTAAAGAGCCTGTGTCAAGCAGCACTTGAGAAATGGTGCTGTGCTCACTGGTACAGCAAATCACATTGCTCTTGGCCGAACATCCTGTGCAGTGCAAAGACTGTGAGGTGCTGGAGCCAGGGAGGTGGTGTAATCAGCTGTTTTTGCAAGCCAGTCAGGAGTAACTGAACTCTAGGAATGGGAACTGCCCTCTGTGATCACTAAGAGGGAAATGTTAGGCCTTGTCACTGATCTGAAACAAGCCATAAATTTCTGTTGTATTTTTAGAATTTGATTTGGGTGTCTCTGATTCCAAGAGGTGTGAAGACTTTGCTGTTAGCTAGGAGATATTCTTCTAACCCAGCTGTCTCTTTGTAGCTGGCCAAGTGGAAGACTGCTGAAGAGGTGGCTGCCTTGATCCGCTCGCTTCCTGTGGAGGAGCAGCCTAAGCAGATCATAGTGACTCGAAAGGGCATGCTGGACCCACTTGAGGTAACAAAGCACGCAGTGCAATGCAGGGACATTATAAAGTCTTCATGAGGTTGCAGAACAGTTCTGTGTTCCTGGGAAAGGCTTAATCTGGATTAATGTTTTGCTCTAGTTGTGAATTAATTCCTCTTCTCAATAAACTCTAGGTGCACTTGCTGGATTTCCCCAATATTGTGATCAAAGGCTCCGAGTTGCAGCTGCCTTTCCAGGCCTGTCTGAAAGTGGAGAAGTTTGGTGATCTCATCCTGAAGGCTACTGAACCTCAGATGGTTCTCTTCAATCTCTACGATGACTGGCTGAAAACCATCTCTTCCTACACGGTGAGGATGTCATGCATAATCTGCACTTTGCTTTCCCACTGGCACAAAATGAGAGCCAAGGTTTCAGAAGTCCTTCCATGTTTGCTCCAGAGAGCTTGCTCTTGGTCTGCCTGAATTCTTCTTCAGATTGATTTACTTACAATTCTCACGGGCTCTCATTGCGCCCAAGCAGATGAGTGATGTGATGGAAGAAAGCCAAGTACACTGTGCTCTTTCTGACAAGCTGCATCTTTTTGTTTTGTTTTGTTTTCTCTCTCCAAGGCATTCTCACGTCTGATTCTGATTCTCCGGGCACTGCATGTGAATAATGATAGAGCCAAAGTTATTCTGAAACCAGACAAGACAACCATAACAGAGCCTCACCACATCTGGCCAACTCTGACAGATGAGGAATGGATCAAGGTGGAAGTGCAGCTGAAAGATCTGATCCTTGCTGACTATGGCAAGAAGAACAAGTAAGTTACTGTCCTGCTGCAGAATCTCATCAGCCTTTCCTTATTTTTGCATCATGTGATTTTTTTGTCCTTCCTCTTGTCCTAAAAAGTCTGAGTTTCATTTTTCTGTAGTGCCTTGTCTGCCTTCTGAGCTTTTGTATTTGTGAGATGGATCTGACGTGTGGCTGACATGATGGATTTTTCTCTTTCAGTGTGAATGTTGCATCCCTAACACAATCAGAGATCCGAGACATTATTCTGGGCATGGAGATCTCTGCCCCCTCTCAGCAGAGACAGCAGATTGCAGAAATTGAGAAGCAAACCAAGGAGCAATCACAGCTGACAGCCACACAGACCCGCACTGTTAACAAACATGGGGATGAAATCATCACCTCCACAACCAGCAACTATGAAACCCAGACTTTCTCCTCCAAGACTGAGTGGCGAGTCAGGTAGGAGTGAAGACAGAGCTGTTACACAGTGGGAAGAGGTGAGATCTGTGGGCTCTGTTATAATCATCTCCTTTTCTTCACAGAGCGATTTCTGCCGCCAACCTCCACCTGAGAACAAACCACATTTATGTTTCATCAGATGACATAAAGGAAACGGGCTATACGTACATTCTTCCCAAGAATGTGTTGAAGAAATTCATCTGCATCTCAGATCTCCGAGCCCAGGTGAGTCTGTAACAAGGCTGTTAGGGTGTCTATGCAGCTTGTGCATGCACCAGTCCTGGGCAGGCAGCTCCCAGGGCCTCATGGTGAAAGGCTAGGAGCTTGCTGCTGTTTCTAGGCTGGAAGTAGACATCCATTCTGTGGCTGAGTGCATCCCAGGTCGAAAAGGCTTCTTTAGGCCAGGTGGCCTGAAGAGCTTTCAGTCCAGAACATAATTATGATGTGACCTTACTCTAGTGAGGAGCTGCTGGGCAAGAGAAACTTGCTTTAGGACCTAAGGTCTTGCCCACCAACTCTCACGTGATTATAGGAGGTCTCTTCTAGGCTCGTAAAGTGGATGTTTGTTTGTGTTCCTAGATTGCAGGTTACCTTTATGGAGTGAGCCCTCCTGATAATCCCCAAGTGAAGGAGATCCGGTGCATTGTGATGGTACCCCAGTGGGGAACACACCAGACTGTGCATCTCCCAGGGCAGCTGCCTCAGCACGAGTACCTCAAGGTGAGTTGAGCTTCTGCTTCCAGGGAGGGTGGAAGGTCATCACTTCCCTAACAGATCCAGGTGACAGGGGAGTCATGCTGCCACTCAGCTCCAGTGTGTTTGCCTCAATAACTCACCTCTGAAGTCTGCCCAATCTGGGATCAGGTGAAAGGGGGAAGCCTTTAGTCCCGTGTACTTTGTACTGTGCTTAAGCACTCTTAAAATACCTTTCTCGTGGCTTTCAGTTTCTTCTTGTTGAGTAAATGGTTTTCACTTTCTATTCTGTAGGAAATGGAACCTCTGGGGTGGATTCACACCCAACCAAATGAGTCCCCGCAGCTGTCACCACAGGACGTCACCACCCATGCCAAAGTCATGGCTGACAACCCCTCCTGGGATGGGGAGAAAACTATCATCATCACCTGCAGGTGAGAGGCAGCAGGGCTTCTGTGCTGCATTCCCTTCTTGGGAACACACTAAGATCTCAATCTAAAAATGTGGCAGAAAGGGTCCGTTTGCTCATTTCTTGTTTTCCTCTGTCTCAAATTAATCTGACCCACACCATCTCCCTGCTCTCCTTCAGTTTTACACCAGGTTCCTGCACACTGACAGCCTACAAACTGACCCCAAGTGGCTACGAGTGGGGCAGGCAGAACACGGACAAAGGGAACAACCCCAAAGGCTACCTGCCATCCCATTACGAGAGGGTGCAGATGCTGCTGTCAGATCGATTCCTTGGCTTCTTCATGGTTCCAGCACAGGGATCCTGGAACTATAACTTCATGGGTGAGCTGACTGCACAGGGAAGGGGCAGGAAGGGAGGCAGCATGAATAACTTGGGGGAGGAGGAGGAAGTAGCTCTTTAAGGGGAGCATTCCTTACGTGTCCTGAAGCTTGACCTTCTCTGAGTAGCTGGCAGGGTTATGTTAGCATTGTAGTTTGACCTTCCCTAGGTGGGCCATACTGGGGTGTCAGCTCTTAATAATTTGAGGCAGCAAGAGAGCAAACTCTGATACAGGGGAAAAATCAGACCTGAGACTGTTGCTGGATTGTAGTCTCTGGTATATTGCCACTGAATAATTAATGTCTGTCAGGAAGAAGAGGTGATAATGGAAGATGCAAAAGAAAAGCTGTGCCCAGCAGGGGGGAGGGTAGCGGGGGTCCTGGAATGAGTACAGCAGCTTGGTGAACCACAGACAGCTGCAGAAGGGATCAGGAAATGAAGAGATGGGCAGACAAAATACTCAACTTCCTCTAGCAGAAAGGATGATGGGGTCGTTGCTTTTAAATCTCTGAGGGAGGGAGCCGTGGAACACAGAGTGTGATGGTTTTGTGGCTTTGAAACTTCCTGCTGCTCTGCTTGAAAATTCTCTTGCGACTGTAGAAGGCTCCATTAAGCTCCTGATGGGCGGAGGAGCTTCCATGTGGATAAAGAATCATAGAATATCCTGAGTTGGAGGGACCTGGAGTGCTGGCTCACACATGAACTCTCTTCCAGGTGTTCGCCACGACCCCAACATGAAGTACGAGCTGCAGCTCGCCAACCCCAAGGAGTTTTACCACGAGGTCCATCGTCCTTCTCACTTCCTCAACTTCGCCCTGCTGCAGGAGGGGGAGGTTTACTCCGCCGACAGGGAGGACCTCTATGCCTAATCCTGCCGTCCCTACAACTCTTAGTACTGTTGATATTCAACATCCTCTCCTGCTTTTCGTGCCCCCCCTTCACGCGTTCACGGCTCACGTTGCCCCCCGTCTGTCCCAGCCGCGATGTCCCGCTGGTTGTACCGTCTTAGTGTGGCTTAATAAATTTTTTACAAAGCTGAACGCTGCTGCCTACGGAGGTTGGTGGGACGGCATCCGCCTCATCGGGGCGGCTCCGGACGGGGCGGGACGGGGCGGAGCGTTCACGGGGCCACGTCCGGTGGCGGCGGGGTTGATGGCGGAGCCAACGCAGGGCACGGAGCCGCTGTGGCGAACGCCTCCGGGCCGCCTGGCCCCGCCGCACGTCTACCGCATGGCGGAGGCGTTGGGCGCCGAGCTGCGCCGTCTTTCGGGCCGCTTTGGACCCGACGCCGTGGCCGGATTGGTGCCGCCGGTTGTGCGGTTGCTGGAGCTGTTGGAGGCGTTGGTAGCACCGGTGGGCTCCGAGGGTGAGGCGCTGCTGTCCGAGCAGCAGGATGCCGAGGTGAGCGGGGCGATGCCGGGAGCACGGGGGGAGGCGGGGAGCCGTCCCCAATGCCTTCCCGGTGGCGCTCAGCCGGAGGCCCTTTTCCCTCCGGGGAGGCGCTGACCCCTCTGCCGTGTCCCTGCGGGCAAGTGCCTCGCGTGGCCCTTCTTCAATGATGGCGTTTATCCTGGTGGGGGTGTCCTTGGGGGCAGCGCTGTCCCTTGGGGTTGGCTTGGAGCGACTGTCCCTCATTCCTTGGCGTGGTTCAGACCAAGCTGTCGCCAGCCCCCCGAGCCTGGCCCTGACCCAGCTGTCCCTGTCCCCCAGGACCTGGAGCAGAGGCTGTGGGAGGTCGAGCGCCGGGAGCGAGCCCTGCGAGGCCGCCTGGCCCAGCTGGAGGAGCAGAACCAGCAGCTCCTGGGGCAGCTGGCGGAGAGCCACCAGCAGGAAGGTGGGTGTCTGGTGAGCTCGGGGTGCTCTCCCACCACCGCCTGTCCCCATGGGAGCGCTGCCTTCTGCAAGCCACGGGGTCCCCAGGACTCCCATAGGTTTTGGGGCAGTATGTCTTTGGCATGAGTTGAGATCCCAGGAGGTGACGGGAGGGTGGTGGGGACGGGCATCCCAAGGATGTCTTTGGGTCCCTGGAGCTGATCACACTCGTTCCCCCATTCTGGGCACAGACAGCACGGTGCGGAAGGAACGAGAGGTGATGCTGCGGCTGAAGGAGGTGGTGGACAAGCAGAGGGATGAGCTTCGTGCCCAAGCTCATGAGATCGTCTGCAAGAGCCGAGACACGGAGGCGGTGAGTGCCTGGGGACCTGCTTTCATGTCACCTCCCTTGGGGCTGATGTTGCTACTCGTGATCCCGCTGGGGCAGATGCCATTCCCACACTGTGCCGAGATCCTGGGTGGTGGCCAAGCGGTGCTGCCGTGCCTCACTCCGGGTTGTCGTTGCCCTTCCAGCTGCAGGAGCAGCTGCACCGCTTCATGTCCATGAACGAGGAGCTGCGGCACAAAGTGGCCGTGGTGCAGGCGCAGCTCAAGAGCGCTCTGGAGAAGAAGTCGGACCTGGAGGCCGCTGTGCTGCAAACCCAGAGGGAAATGAGCAGGAGGAGCAGGGCTGCCCCCGAGGCACCGCTGCCGCAGCCCAGCCAGGTGAGCTGGGGGACCTGGGGCTGCCAGAGCACGGCTCTGGGGGGCTGCGCTCACCCCTCATGCTGCCCATCCTTAGGAAGGAGCAGCACCGCTGCCTGCGGAGGAGCCGCCGTGCCAGGATGCGGGCAGGAGCCCGGCTCAGTGCTGCTTCTCCATGGAAGAGCTGCAGCAGATCCTGCAGGAGCGGAACGAGCTGAAGACCAACCTGTTCCTGGTGCAGGAAGAGTTGGCCTATTACCAGCGGTGAGCCCTCCAAGAGCCACGTCCCTCCTGTCCCTGTAGCACCTTATGGCCCATCAGAGTGCTCCTGGCAGCCCCAGGCAGCATTTACTTGCAAAGCTCTCAGCTAATCCGTGAGCTCTCTGTTCCAGGGAGCTGCTGAATGAAGAGAGAATCCCCAGCTTCTTCCTGGATGCGATGAAGTCGACAATCAAAAAGCAGAGAAGAAAAATCAGAGCCAAGATGCTGGGGACGGCAGAGGAGTCGGCAAGTAGGTGAGTCAAGCTGCAGGCAGCATGGAACCTCCTGCACACTGCCCCTGGTGCTTCCGTGCACTGTGGCACCTGTGAGAGATCTCAGCCCTGGGCTCTGGCCTTGTCCCTGCCTCCTGCCTGAGAGCAAAGGTTCAATGCCTGTGCTGGGTGCCCTGGCACGGTGCTGCAGGGCTGGGCTCTTTGCTGATGCTTTCACATCATTGTCACATGTCACACACCTGCTCCTTGTGTGCTGCTCTTCCTTGTATGGATACGACAGTGGGGAGGTGAGGTGGTGGGGCACGTAGTCTGTGAGCTGTGGAAATGGCACTGGGGATGTTCCCTGCAAGACATCTTTGGGTAGCATTTGTTCCAGATCCCCTCAGCATCAGGAGGGGAAGTGGAGCTGTATCTCACTGCCTTGCATGGACTTTAATAAAGGTCTCGAGGGCTGAGCACTTTCGTGCTATTCCAACCTCCTGCAGCTGCTGTTTGCATTGGGGTGCAGGGGGGTCTGTGCAGCCTGGAGCAGATCTGTGGCTGGAGCTGAGGCCACATCCCAGCCCATAGTGGTCCTGGCTCTGCTGTTGGTGCTGATTGGAGCAAGCAGGGCAGGTTTGCTTGGCCACACTCATGGCTGGGACTTGCCGGTCTGGGCTGGTTGGGGTAGGGATGGATCCTCCCAACCTGCCCAAACCCTTTATGAGAGCTGTGGGAGAGGCAGAACGAGATTTTCAGGAGAGCAGGGGTTTCCCCCAGTCAGTACAGTTTGTTTTTTCCTTGTGCAGCCTCAGCACGTTGGTGGGAACTGTGCCCTTGTATGCCCAAAAGTCTGAGACACTGCTCACCTTCTGCCCACCCAGAGTGGCTGCTGCTCTATGAGCTCCTTCCCTGCCATCCTTTGGGGTGCCATCCTGCTGTTCTGCAGGTCTGGCTGTCCCCAGCATCGCCCGATGCTGCAGCTGGTGTTGCTGATGGCACCCCTGAGGCTGAGTTCAAGCACAGCCCTGGCATCTCTGCAGGGCTGGGGATGCCCTATTGCAGCCTCACCAGGCAATGGCAGCAGCCACAGTTCCCTGAGCAGCGTGCCAGGGCTGGGTGCCCACAGACTGCAGCGTGGGCTGTGGCTTCTGCTGCTGCAGCCAGCTGGGACAAAGCAGTTGCTGAGCAAGTGTTGGGCTTTGGAGCTGCCTTCTGAGAAGAAATCTGTGGGCTGGGAACATGGCTGGCTCTGGGACACGAGCGTGGCAGCAGATGGTGAGGGATTGGGGAGCACAGCACTCAGCCTGGGTTTTGTTCCCATTTTGTGCTGCAGTGAGGAAGAGGAGGGCTCCTGGCTCCCGGCTCGAGGCGCAGACTGCGTGGATGCTCCGCCTCCAGAATCCAAAATCAGAAGCTTGTAAGTTCCATCCCACACTCAGGTACTGGTGGGGTGGGGATTTTTAGCTCAGCTGTGTGCCCAGTGCCCGCTGAGCTCAGTGCCTGTCCCAGGACACTGCTGCAGAGCGGGTGTGCTTGGATCCTGGGGATGTGCCTTTCCTTGGGGCTGCCACATAGCTGTGCACAAGGAGGGAGGATGGGATGCGGCTGCTTCCCAGAAAGTTTCCTCTCCCCCCACGCCTGCTATCTGCTCTTTCCACAGCTTTGGGTTATGGTATCAGGGCAGCAGCAAAGACCCCCCTGTGCCCAGCTGCTCCAGAGCCTGGGAAATCATCGACTCACTGGACACACAGCAGGATCAGTTGGGAGAGCATAAACCAGACCAAAGCACACCAGCACTCTGACCCTATTGGATCTGACCATGGCATCACTGGGAGCCACGGAGCACAGCACGGTGCACGGCTGGGATGCTCAGCTGGCACAGAGCAGCTCGGCATTTCTGGGCACCTTGCCCCATCCTGCCCCACCTGGGTGTTTCACATCATCCCTTCCCAACATCTCCCCATCCCTGCAATGTGAAGATGAAGGGCTGTCTGGGTGCTGCCCTGTGTTCCCCCTGCTGGACTGAGCACGCACTGGTGAGGGCTGGGTGGCTTTTGGGAGCACGTTTCGGATGTGGGGTGAATTGGTTTTGTGCTGGGACTTGTTCCTGCTTCTGGAAATTGGAAAAATTCAGTAATCTTCGTGCTTATGGGAGCACAGCCGTCCACATGGATCAGGTGCTTCCCAGCTCTGGGACTGGAGTTAAAAATAAACTGGGCTCTTGTTTCTCTGACGAGGTGCCCACTGCAACCTCTGCTCTGTCTTTGTGTTGGAAGGAGCCCAGCAAGCAGCTCAGTGGGCTTTGGGGGCTGTTACCCAGCACAGCTGTGGTTGTGCCATAGCCCACATACAGAGCTGGGTTGGGGCAGAGGCTCTGGGTGCTCCAAATGAACCACGATGGGAATTGGGGCCACTGGGGCACAGCGTTGGAGGCGCACGAGTTAAATCCCATACGGGGAAACCCCGGCTGGTTGTGCTCAGGAAGGAAAAAGGTGTTTCCTGTGCATCTGCTGACACGAAGCTCCTGTGGGACGTGCAGTGGGATGGAGCCAGCAGCAGCAGCAGGCTCAGGAGCCTGGCTGGATTTAGGCCAAACCAGGGCACGCTGCGTTCCTGGGGGACACCAAATTCCATCCTGGAACAGGACTGCAGAAGAGGGCTTGGCTGTGCCCTGGGGTGGATGGCACAGGGGGGGGTGGATGCCTTGGGGACATGGAGGGCATCGGCTCAAACAGCCTCAGGGGGCAGTTGGGTGGGCTATGGGGCAATGCCCGGTGGGTGCTGTTCCCTGTGAGGGGGCTGAGCCCTGTGCCGTGCATTCCCTTGGCAGCAAAGGTCAGGAACAGACAAGGCTGTGGCATTCCCTGCCTCCTCCTTCCCCCTGCACTCCTGGCGTGGGGCTGGGACGCCTCCTCCCGCACTTCCTCAGGAAGAAACCAAGGCTGGCGGGAGGAAGAGGCTGAGCCACAGGAGAGGAGCCCACGGACGGACAGACGGATGGACAGACACAGCCCCAGCGGGATGGCGAGAACCTGCCTGCTGCTCTGCCTGCAGCTGTGGCTGTGGGTGCAGGGCTCTGCCCAGGAGCTCGACCCCAACGGCAGGAATGTCTGCAAGGTGGGCAGGTAGGTGACACCGCATCTCCTCCGCCTGTCCCTGGGCCTTCAGGTAGAGTGAGGTGGGGTCCTCCATGTGTCCTTCTGTGGGTGGAGCCCAGCAGCTCATGGGTACGGGGAGCACGGCAACGTCGGGGGCTCTGCACACCCAAATTCCTTCTCCTTGGGGTTGTTTCCCATAGACCAGGAGAGCGTGGGGGCAATGGGGGAATGCGGGAGTGTTGGTAATGCTTCCACCATTAACGCTGTCAGAAGTGCAAAATGGAAGCAAATCCTAAATGGTGTTTGGGGCAGATGGCCGTGCTGCTTTATCGCCTGTGTTTCCTCTCCCATTGATCTCCATCAACACAACGTGTTTGTGTCAGTGCTTTTAGGTACTGACAAAGCTCTCCCAAAAAAACTGGGGGATCCATTTGGGCTCTGTAGCTACAGTGCCAGCAGTATTAAGCACTGCTGCTCCAGAACCCAGCCCTGAAGCTCAGCAACGACTTAAATTTCCTTCTATTTTGCTGGCTTCCTTCCTGAGCGAGCCCCCGCAGCCTCATGGCTTCCCCGTGTGTGAGGCCGAGCCCGAGGGGAGCGTTCCTCTTCAGCTTCTTATTCAAAGCCCTGAAGCTGAAGGCAATGTCCCCAGCCCTGGGCAATGGCTGATGTGCCCCACTCCATCCCACAGCCCTGCTGTGAACCTGGCGTGCTGCCCCGGCTGGAAGCAGGAAGGGCAGGAGTGCACAGCCGGTAAGTGATGGGCGAAATCTTTGTCCCTTAAAATCTTCATCCCCACGTTTTTCCTCCACGCTGCCCACCCTGCAGTGTTGCAGGGAGCTGTGGGTGCTCTTTGTGCTGGTGGTGGGAATAGGGGAGACCCCGCAGTGGATGGGGTGGTGGGGTCCCACCTGGTGACATGCCAGCCCTGCTGCCCACAGCGCTCTGCGAAGGGGAGGATGCCTGCGGGCCAGAAGAAGTGTGCGTGAGACCTGGGCTGTGCCGCTGCAAACCCGGCTTCTTTGGTGCAGATTGCAGCTCCCGTGAGTGCTTCACCCCTCTCCTAGCAGCCTGCCCTGGGTGCTGGGGGCTTCTTCATCACCCCTTCATTGTTATCTCCTTCCCTCCACAGCCTGCCCTGCACAATACTGGGGTCACGACTGCAAGCAGCGCTGCCCGTGCCACCCTGGTGGGATGTGTGAAGCAGAGAGCGGGCGCTGCACCTGCAACCCCGAGCGCTGGGGAGAGCTGTGCCAGTTCCGCTGCCCCTGCGGACCCCACAGCCGCTGTGACCCCACGACTGGAGCCTGTCGCTGTGAGCCGGGCTGGTGGGGTCCCGACTGCAAGAGGCAGTGCCAGTGCAACCTCGCCACCTCGCGCTGCGACCCTCTCACCGGGCACTGCCACTGTCGGCTGGGCTGGTGGGGAAGGAAATGCAGGTTCAAGTGTTCCTGCAACCTCTCACCCTGCGCCCAGGAGACGGGCAATTGCAAATGCAAGGCTGGTTTTTGGGGGTCGGCGTGTCAGTGGCACTGTGACTGTTTGCACGGTTCCTGCAATCCTCTCAATGGGTATTGCAGCTGTGAGCCAGGTTTCCAGGGCAGGAGCTGCCAGGAGCCCTGCCCAGCGGGGACGTATGGGTCCCAGTGCGTGCACAGGTGAGCTGGTGGACGTGGGGTGGGGGTCAGTGTGGTTGCATCCATCCCTTTGGCTGCGCAGGGAGATCCATCTGGAGGCAGGGGTTGAGAGCCATGAGTGGTGTTGACTCTAAGAAGCATCCTGCTAACGCCAGAGGAGAGCTCTGGCATCATCCTAAAATCCTGGTACCATCCCTAGAGCAATAATACAGTGCTTATCCCTGCTTGGCTTCTGCCCCACGGTTATTATAGAACCTTAAATGCTGTCAGGAATCTTCATAAAAACCCAAATGCTGCTGAATGCAACAGTGGGGGGAGAACTGTGTGTGTGGGGGGGTGAAGGCTTCACTGCCCCTGTGTCCATGCAGCTGTGGGAACTGCAAGCACAACCAGCCCTGCTCATCTGTGGATGGCTTTTGCCTGGCATGCCAGCCTGGCTGGAATGGGACCCAATGCAAGGAACGCTGCATGCCCGGCTTCCATGGCCAAGGCTGCCTCCAGCCCTGCCCACGCTGCCGGCAAGGAGATATCTGTGATGCAGAGACTGGTTCCTGCCCACAATGTGAGCCTGGCTGGACAGGACCCAGGTAACCCAGCAGCAGGGGCAGGATGTGGCCGTTGGTGCTGGTGATGGGGGTCCTGGTGACATCTCTCTCTCCCATCAGCTGTAACAGCTCCTGCCCCGCAGGGACGTTTGGTGATGGATGCCAGCTGCTGTGCCCCGAGTGTGTCTGGGGGAGCTGTGACCCTGTGTCGGGTGACTGCCTCTGCCAGGCTGGCTACTGGGGAGCCAGGTAAAATGGGGAGCAGGGCTGGGAGCTGCTGGTCCCGGGGGCATTTCCCCTCCTTCCCTCTTTCTTTCAGCTGTAATGACACCTGCCCAGAGGGCTTTTTTGGAGTGAACTGTTCCTCCCCCTGCCAGTGCTCACGAGGAACCTGCCACCCTGCACAAGGCAACTGCATATTGAGTAAGAGCAGCCCTAAATTCACTCCTTGGTGTTGGGTGAGGGTCCATGACATCCTCACCAAGTACGGGGATGCTGTGGTGGATCCATCCGTGGACACACTGATCCCATCTTCCCCACGCAGGTCTGACAGACCACGCAGCTCTGGCTGCTGCCATCCTCATCCCTCTCCTCCTGCTGCTGCTCTGTGTTGCTTGCTGCTGCTGCGGTGCTGGCCCTGCGGATGCCAGAGACAGGTATCAGTGCAGGTATTCCAATTTGCTGGTAAACCCTTTTTCCCCTTCTCCCCTTCATGCCTCATCCCCCCACAGGGCGGCCGTGCCGGATGACGACGTGGTGGCCAGGATGAAGCACCATGTGCAGGGCGTGCTGGCCAATATCAGTGCTATGATGCCTTGCTTCACCCTCAACAGCTCCAAGCTTCCCAAAGTCACAGGTGAGAAAGCAGACCTGCTGCCAGCCCTGTTTTGTGGCAGGGAGCCTCTCTGCATGGCCTCCACACCTCATCTACTTGTTGTCTCCTCCCCAGTTTCCCACCACGATGCAGAAATCCCCTTCAACCCCAGCTTCATCGAGTCGCCATCAGCCGTGTGGGCTTCAGACAGCTCCTTCTCCTCCTTTGACACTGACAACGAAGGGCCTGAGTACTCCGTCCCTCCTAGAGAAGGTGACACATGGCTCCATATCCCCTCCCTGGTGCACAATCCCGCTCCCCTTACAACCCTTGTGCTTTCCAAGGATATGCACTAGGCCCAGGCCGTTATTTTTATTCCCTCATTTTCCCCTCCACAAGGACGAGCCAAGGCCATGCTTGGCCTCATGCAGTGTGATGTGCCCTGCAGCCCCATTTCCTAACACGCTCCTGGAGGCAACCCTATGGCACCAGCATCCTCATCCCTGAGCCCTAGTGTGTCCCCATCCCCGAGGCCTAGGGCTGTCCGTGCCCCCACCCCTGCGGCTAACGCCCGCTCCTTGTTGTCCCACAGGGGTCCCACTGCTGTCAGGGGCTGAGCTGCAGGCTGAGATGTGCCCCCCCAGCGAGGCGCTCCCTGACCCCACTGCCTTCAGCTCTGAGGATGTCTCGCAGCCCTTCACCATTCCCCGCACCTCCAGCATCGCCAAGGCCAA